TTTCTACATATTTTTGGTTCAAAGTCATCATTACAGCCCTACGCAGCGGCACGACTTCATCGTTGGAGCGTATATATGTCACAGTTTGAGTATGACATTGAATACAGAGCTACAAAGGAATATGGCAACGCGGATGCATTGTCACGCTTCCCAGATAAGAATATGCCAGTAGAAGAGGAGGAAGAGGCAAAGGAAGTAAATTTGATTGCTGATGAAAATATAGAAGTACTGCCAATGACGTATAAGGAGAGACGAACTGCTACAGCAAGAGATAAGGTATTGTTGAAGGTGATATCTTTTATCAACAACAAATGGCCAAGCTCAATTGAAAAAGAGGATCCGGAATTGCAGAACTACTTCAAGAAGAAAGAAGAGTTGTCCACACATCAAGGATAATCGTCTGGGGACTTAGAGTAGTCATTCCTCAGTCACTACAACAGAAGTTACTGAAGAGTCTTCATGAAACACATGCAGGAATAGTAAAAATGAAAGCATTAGCAAGACAGTTTATGTGGTGGTCAAAAATGGATAAAGAGATCGAGGATTTTCCAAAGAGCTGCATTAATTGTTGTTCAAGCCGATCAGATCCTCCAAGTGCTCCCCTGCATCCTTGGCAATTCCCGGAAAAACCATGGCAAAGGCTTCACATTGATCTAGCTGGTCCATTACAGAACAATATGTTTTTTATAATCATGGATGCACACACAAAATGGCCTGAGGTGTATAATATGCGCATGGATACAACAAGTAAAAACGTAATTGAAAAACTAAAAGATTGTTTTGTGAGATTTGGTATTCTAGAACAAATAATCTCAGATAATGGCAGACAATTCGTATCATCTGAATTCCAGAAATTTTGTAAAAACAACGGAATTCGACACACAACGAGTTCAGTATATCATCCACGCACTAATGGAGAAGCCGAACGCTTTGTGCAGACTTTCAAGAAAGCAATATTTAAAAGTAATTCAGAAGGTAATATGACGAATCAAATTCAACGTTTTCTGTTTAATTATCAATGCACGCCACACTGAACGACTGGAGCGTCACCATCGGAGTTACTCATAGGACGGAGACCGAGGAATTTACTCGATTTGATCAAACCAGATGTACATAGTACAGTGGCTGCGGCACAAGCGAGACAAGAAAAGAGCTACAACACACATGTAAAAAGTCGCAGATTTAAAGAAGGAGAAGAGGTCTGGGTTCGTACATTTTCAAAGAATGAAGCTAAGTGGTCATTGGGAACTATAATCAAAGCTTTGGGTCCAGTCACATATCTCGTGCAAGTTGGAGATCAACACTACAAGCGTCATGTTGATCAGATCTA